TATTCAAAAAATGGAAAGGCTCGAAAACAGAGGAGGATAAAGCCATCTACACCAAGGCTAAGAAGACGGTTAAGCAAACGATAATCACACTGATGGAGGAGAGAAGTCTCGAAATAGCAAAGAGCATGGAAGTCGATATGAAGAATTTCCAAATCTTCAAACGTCTAAAAAAGATGAATAACGAGAAGAAAGACATCCAACAAGTTAAAAGTATCAAAGACCGGGACGGCAACGTAATTATTGATCAGGAGGGAATAAAGAGTGTATGGAAGCGTTACATGGAAGATTTGTTAAATCAAGTAAATGAAAGCGAAACGTTAACAAACAACCCTCCCACGATTGGCCCCGCATGTCAATTTTCATCTGCCGAAATTGGCACTGCTATTAAAAAGATGAAACCAAATAAAGCTAAAGGTTACACAGATTTGACAAGTGATATGATCAAGCCTATATGCCCCAAGGCGCTAAATTTCCTATCAAACCTTTTCAATAAAATTCAAAATGTTCATGTAATCCCTGACGACTGGAAATATAGCATTACAGTCCCAATATTCAAACAAAAAGGCGACATTCTAAATTGCGCCTCGTATCGACCTATTAAACTCCTGGAGCACGCTATGAAAATGTTTGAATCAGTGCTTGAAGCTAGAATCCGGGAAATAGCTGATGTCAATGGCATGCAATTCGCTTTCCGTCCCGGATGCAGCACCAGCGACCCTATCTTTATATTACGACGTCTCCAGGAGTCCGCTCTGTCAAAAGGTTTAAAGCTCTACCACGTTTTTATCGACCTGGAAAAAGCTTTCGATCGAATTCCTAGACCACTCATCATCTGGGCCCTACGTAGAAGACGCGTTGATGAATGGATTATTAACTTGGTGATGCTATTATATCGTAACACGTTTACCTGTGTGCGCACAAACATAGGCGACACTGAACAGTTTGAAATCAACGTGGGACTCCACCAAGGATCCGTCCTTAGTCCACTACTTTTCACGATTATAGTGGACGCTATTAGTGAAGATATACGATCGGGGCTCCCGTTTGAAATGCTTTACGCCGATGACCTAATTCTAACAGCTAATAGCATTGACGAGTTATCTATCATGTTCGATAAGTGGAAAAGATGCTTGGAATGTAAAGGGCTTAAATTAAATATTGAGAAGACGAAGGTTCTAATAACTGGCGAAAAGCATGTAAAGAACCCACGCTACCCCTGCGGCGTCTGTCATAAAAACGTCAACCTAAATTCAATCCAATGTACAGCCTGCAAAAAATGGATTCATAAAACCTGCAGTGGGATTAAAGGCCCACTAAAAGACAACGTTAACTTTATATGTGCAAGCTGTACCTCACCTTTCCCTCTACCATCACCTGTCCCAACCATTCCTAGTACCATAGAGATAGCTGGTTCATCGTTGGAAGTTGTCACAAAATTTATCTACCTAGGCGATGTGATTTCCTCAGAAGGCGGACCCGACCTATCTTTAACTTCCCGTATCAGGCATGGATGGAAGAAATTCAATCAATTAAAACTCATTCTCACCCATAAATATATTTCGCTTCATACCAAAGGAGTGATATACAAAATGGGAATCCGACCAGCCATTACTTATGCTTCAGAGACATGGGCGATGACTAAAACAAACGAGAACAGGCTACTTCGAACCGAAAACCGTATAATCCTAGCGATGACATCGACGAAGGACTTGAGCGTTGATGACGTCCGTAAAAAGATGTCCATTGAGCCCATTTCCATCTTCATTCGTAGAAATCGGCTTCGTTATATGGGCCACATCGAACGGATGGACGAAAATAACTGGGTTAAAATGGTTAGTAGGCTCGACCCGTCTGGGAAAAGAAGGGTAGGCCGACCGGCCCATACTTGGCAGAAGACGATTACTGATGACCTCCGTATTACCAAAATTAACCCCACCTTAGCCCAAAACCGCGATCTATTTAGGATGAAAATTCATGGAATCTAACCTCCGTTTGGAGAAAATAGATCAAGA